GAAAAAGGGCGTCGATAATAGAATATTTTGGTCTAAAATAGGATAAGAGCTTCAAGAGCGAGCTTAACACCCCAGGAAAAATTCGGTAAGTACCCCCCCCCCCCACCCTTCGTGACGAACCAAGTAGACCTATAGCCCTTTCAAAAGATCTTTGAAATTGAAATTACAACTCGCTTCAAAAGATCGTGGCATTACTTTCTTATCCAATCTTATCTTGTGTTTTATCTAATTCTGAACAAAACTGTTGGTAAGAATCTGTCATTTATATTCAACGTGGCAGTCTAATTCGTGGAAATACTAAATTGCAAAACTATAATTACCAGATTACTTGAATTTCTTAATAATATTCTTCCTCTTAAGCTCGCTTGCTTTCTAATTTATGCCCAGCAGAAAATGTATTTTGTCCGTATATTAGCGAATTCATATTTTAATGTTCATAAATAGATCATTTATCACCAGAAAAAGCGTTTGCCGATAATGTCGTTTTAATGTTGTGTATAAATTAAGAATTAGAGTACTTTTTTCGTGTTTACATAGCCTCATCTAGACAAGAGGGGAGAAGAAGTAGGGAGAATTGAGACAGTTATGCATAACTGTTTAGACGAGGCTATGTAAACACAGAAAAAGTACTCTATTGCTTTTATAACGTATTTTTAAAAAATACGCGCGAATCTAAAACGTCACAACCATGTTCACACACTCTCATCTAAACACACGTATCGACCAGTGAGAGCGCGCGTAGTATCTCAGTTATTCTATAGCAAAATGTACAGCTTAAAGTAATCCGAAAAAAAAAAGAGTTTTAATGCATAAAATTGATATTTGGATTTATTTGTGTAGGTAATTTGTGTAGGTACTGGTATGATGAAATTCTCTCAAAATTGAAAGAAGTTTCAGACACTAGGGGTAGTGTAAATCCTTAATTTCTAGAGGCTTTGTGCGATTACTTGTTTATAATATGACTGAGAAACACACGAAAACGAGCCCGTTAATTTGCACTGCAGACTGACGAATACTTCGAATTATCTTATGTATCGAAACTGAACAAAAAAATTATTTTGAAGAAAGCAGAAAGCTAAGCAACAGTGAGGCCTAGCGAGGTGCTAATGAAAAGAAGAAACATTTTCACGTAGTTTTACGTTAGCACTCCATTTTGATGCATCAGGCGCCTTGTGATTTTGCGTGTACGAACTATTTTCAATTTATATCTAAAAGAAAAATCGCACTTGTATTCATCTCTTGTATTCATCAAACACCTCACGATGTGTAAACTAGCTGAGAACACGCAATATTCTTTTACGCGATTTTGTTTAAAGATGTTAAGACCCGGTCCACACTACGCCGGAGAAATTTGAAAACGCAGTTTTATTTGTTCGGTTAGGCCATCCGTCCACACTAATCCGTCACGAAAACGGAACTTTTCGAAAACGCTCATCAGACCGGAGGAATTTGAAAACGCCAACTTTGCGTTTTAGTGTGAACGGAAAACATTTTAAAAACGGAGCTTTTCGAAAACGATGACGTCAAGTTAATCATATAATTGCTGTCCGAGTTTTCCTCAAACACAAATCCAGATTGACCAGTGATTGTTCCGAAGTGACTGGTCTTTTCACAAAAGGCTTTTGTTCTCCGCGCGAATTAAGCACTTTGCGATCCGATTATGGGGAGCCGTAATTCCAGTTAAGATCAGTTAATCCAGGCAACCGACCTCGTACCGCATTACCAGGCGAGTGTTAACCCCCCAGGAGATATTCCCGGAAAAATTGGGTGGGGGTGTGTAGCCCGCTTCCCAAAACCTTTATCCTATTTATGACCAAAATCTGCGATTTTCCCTACCCTATTTATGACCTGACCAAAAATTTCATACCATATTTAAGAGTGATTTTATCAGAATGTCGAGAATCGAAAGACAGTAAAGAAAAATCGATTCTTTTTTTGGTTTATATACTTTTACTTCTTTGTTTTATATTTAAACTTATGCAAAATTTTTATCTTCACTTTTAAGCTTGATAATGACCGGAGTTCGTTTAAAATGTCGCGCGCTTTTACCGTTAGTTTTTACTTGAAAAACATTTAAGCAAGAAAATTAACGAAACTAGAGTAACATGACGTTTCGACGACTTCATGTCATAATTGTCAAATGAATAAACTGACAACGACACGATTTGGAAAGAAGTATGAGCTTACTTTTGGAGAACGCCTATTGATATATCGAAGTCAGTAGTTTTCATGAACATGATCTTTTGGTCTTTCGCATATTTATTATTACGCAGCGTTATAGTTATTAGCCTTATTATTTCTGCCGTTAAGTGAAGCTTGCAGACTTCGCACTTTCCGTTCGGAATCGCTCGTTCCGAGCGGGGAGACCGAACAAGCGAGCGAGCAAACGAGCGCGCCTCGGGTGAGCAAAAAATGGGGACAACTGTTGCCTGCGAACGCCGACGTATTTCCGGCTGTCGCTTGTCTCCCCCGAAAATAACGGGCGCTTTCCATTCGACCAAATATTCCGGTTTGAAATTCCTGGGATTCCATGTGACGAATGGAACAGTATTTTCCAGTTGGTTGGACCAATCCGTCCCAGGTCATCACGTTCCAAGTTTCGCGCGAAAATACACGAAATAAAAAGAAAACAAACGGCGGACACTTT